CTGGATGTTCACGGGGGTGGAAAAGTGCTTTCTGAGCTAGTTACAAGTGCCTTTAGGCTCACTTCAAACCTGCCGAAGCCTTTGCTCATCTCATTTTGAGACTCAAGAGTCCAACCCCACACACATATTAAGCAGCAGGAAACACTGTAAACGAACATTTTAGCACATATACTTAATATTTGAGAGCGAGACTGTCAATTACACCAAATCAAGAGCCAGGGGCCCCTGACTCTGATCTCAGCTACATCAGAAGCAGATCCATTGAAGACAGTGGAATTGCTCTAGTTTATGCTGGTGGAAATGAGATCAGAATCTGCCCCCCCCCCCCATACCTCCGCTCCTTTGATTTAAATGTTGGCCGGGTGCAGAGTAAGACCGTCTCTGTGTTGGACACAAATCCTTCTGGTCAAATTATGGCAGGTGCTTTGAAGTATTTCCTCTTACTGTTGCCTTTTGGCAGCCTAAGGGAGTTAGGCATCTAGCTCTCGCTGAATTTCAATGGGGTTTGGGTGCCTAGCTCACTTAGTCCCCTTTGAAAAATCTCCAGCCTTAATCCTTCGACAACTGATTTTTTTTTTTCAATGAGGTGTTAGCCACCAAGTAACTTAGGCCTTTCTGAGAATCCCGCCCACTGTGCACAGAAGCTACATCCTTTCAGTCTCAAACATCCTACACACATGAAGCAGAGAATCCTGTGATTCTTCATGGCAAGTGAGACACTCTGTGGGAGTGTTCTGTACCAGGCTCGGGCCACATAACTCGGCTTTGTTTTCAACCCTGTAAGGACTCATTGAGGTCAGGAAGCTGATGCACAAATAGCTCTGATAGGAGGGAGCTGGCCTTGAGAGAAGGCCAGTGGGAATCTACAGATCTGAAGAAAAAATATACAGAGCAAGTTAAAGGGAGATGGGCTTAGTTTAAGGGCCAGAACCTCACCTGGTGTAAATCAGCCCAGCTTCAGTGAAGTTAAATTTGCTGAGGATCTGGCCCAATGTCTTTTTATTTTTTAAATGTACTTATCTGTGTTACTTTGCCAGGCCTCAATCCGTAAAGCAGAGTTTCCGGGATTGGGTGCCTCTGGGGATTGGTAATGGAAAACAGAACCTTTCACCTCTAGGCCGTGCTGGTCTGTGGACAAGCAGGACTTCAGTCTCTAGAGGGAGAGTGTTTCCTCCTCCCCCCCCCCCCCCAAAAGCCGCTAAGAGATTTGGGAGCACACGTTATGCTGAAAGTCAATGGGATTTGTGCTCCTAAATCACTCGGGTGCTTTTGAAACTCTCCCTCCGTGAGCTGTTTTCACATACCTGTAAAAGGTGCTAAGGGCTCTAACTCCTATTAAAATTAATAGCGGTCAAGTGGGTTCAGGACTGAGCTCTTAATTGACCCCAAAAGTGTTTTTAAAAAACTGAAAAGGGTTCAGTTTGGCACCCTTCATTTATACAACACACCCCTTTTCTTGTGAATCGGGGTGAAAATGCAGGGTTCAGCCTGACTGCTCTCATGCAGGTGTGACTCAGGAGCGGTTCCATTAAACCCAGTGGAGTAGCCCTGGGGTAAAGGTCATGTGAGTGAGAGGAGGTCTGGGCCTGGTGTGTTTGCCTGACTCGCATGGACCAGTGTGGTGACCACAGTGTGGCTGTGTGATGCCTGAACCCTCAGCACGCTCATTCTCTTCTCCTTACACAACCCGAGGGCCTGGGGACTCTACTCCCTTCTGCTTTGTGGAGCAACTTGTACAAAGGCAATGGGGGTTCTAACATCCTGCCATTCTGACTTTGAACTAGTGCCAGCAACTCCACAAGTTTTCTAAACGCTTTCTCCTTCCCTTTCCATCTTATACGTCCTGGCTTTATACCCAAGAAACGGTCCCTTCCTGTTCAGCCACCTCTTCCCTTCCATTGCTACCACCAGGCCTCTAGCTCAATCCAAAGTCCTGACCCCTCAACCCCAGGGCTCTATCTTAATCTACAAAACAGGAAAATTTCACTTGGAGAAGCCCACTCAGCCACCAATGATCAAGGGTTCTGCTCATTCTCTGAGCCTTCTCTCTCCCTCACACCCCTAATGCGCCATGTGCACTGAACAAACTCTCTGCCAAGTTCCCCCTTATGCAGACTCCCAGCTCCAGTTACCACTGTTTTCAGGAACCAGAAGACCTGCCTTACTGAATGATGGTCACAGTATATGGGCACTCAGCCCTGTGGCCTCTGGTCTGCTGACACTAGCAGAAATGTTTCTTTAGTTTAGGGGAGGGAAGAGAAGAATTCAAGAAAAGACTTTCGGGGGGTGGGCGGCAAGGTTTGTTTGTGTGTTTGTTTGTTTTTTGTTTTTAAAGGCATGGACAATTTTCAGGTAGATACGTTTTGAGGCCTAAACAAACTTAGCAGTGTCCCTTCAAGGAAGTTATTCCCTGCCCCCAACTGCTAATTTTATAAATTGAGCATTAGGAGGATCTTACACCAGCCAGGCCTCACAATCAGACCAGGGTGGCAATTGTGAACTACAAACAGGCCCCTGTCGATCCAGCCCAAACCCAAGGTTTTGAAGAAGTTAACTTTAGTTTGATTCCTCTTCGTAGCTCTAGTGCAAAGTGAAACAGGTCAATCGGTTGACTTCATAGCCCCAAAAATTCTCTCTAAAGAAATTTTTTGATTTCTAGAGCCGAGGGGGGGGGGGAGGGGTTAGGATGTTTATTTTTTTAAATGTTTTTAATGGAGTCCCATTTGGAAGCATTTCTCTGGCCCAGGGATGTTCTACATGGTCTGATTGCCTGGTATCCTGGTTTGAAATGCAAGTGAACATACAGTATACGTAAGCTTCCGCTCCAAGCACACTTTACCATTAGTTACAAAGCTGGGAAAAGACAGATGTTCTAGCCAACTGTACAATAGACAATGGTCTTTACTCTGTTTCCTGTATTGTATATACATTGAAAATGCTCTTGGAATACTGACCCAAAAGAGAATAACGGCCCCCACAGAAAGTCTCCACTCCTCGTGTTTTCAGTGCCTCTGCTCATGCTATTTCTTCTTCACGTGTTGGTGGCTCTGCTGTTGCTTCTGCATCCTGCACAGCAGACAGAACCAACTCCGTCTCAGCCAGTCCAATCTGGGTTGACAAGCAGCCTCTGCGAAAACAGCTGCCGTGATGTGGTTAAAAATAAACAATGCACTTTTTTTTTTAAGTAATACCATGCAGAGCCTCATCCGAAGCCCATCGGCTTCAACAGGCTTTGGCTCGGGCCCTATCTGTATTTGCTTTTGTACAAGACTCTAAACCCATTGCAGTCATAACCCTTCTCCTCCTGCGAAATACTTGTCAGTGTTTGGTACAGCTTTGAGCGGATGTAGGCAGGGCGTCAGATGGAGCGATGCAGGGGTATGAATGTCCAAAAACAAAATATGGGCAGGAGAGAGCCTTTTAGGGCCACGCACTGGGGCTTGGCTGCCTCTTTGCAGTTTGGCTTTGCTTAAGTCCTATCATCGAAAGTACAGAGAGCTGCTATTTTGCTGTACTGTCCTAGGAAAAACATAGGCACAGCAGATTAGCTAGCGCGCCTCACACCCACGCATCTGATCTCCCAGGTGGCTACGTTTCTGGACGGGGAGACGAATCATTTGCTTAGAATGCAGCTGGGCGCTATATATATTAGTGGGGGAGAAGGGGAAAGCCTATTGCTAGTTTTCCCATCAAGCAGTGATTACACTTGTACCTCACTGATCTGCACACCTTAAGATTCATACCCCATACATATGGCATCTTCCCACACTTCTGAGCAAAGATTTCAGAGCAGAGGATGCTGTACTGAAGTCCCATGTGCCTGAGCAGGGTTTGGACAAGCGTCTCAGTTGTGGTGTGCCGCTGCTGACACAAGAGCCGGTGCTGGTGTAACCAATGTAGGGGATACTCTGGTGGCACAGAGTCAGTCAACAGCACCTAGGCCACCCCGCTTCCTGCTGCCAGTGGTGTGGGAGGTGTTCTCAGGACTTCCCTGCATTCCTCAATCCCTGGCTGCTATTTTGCCCAAACATTTACACAGTGGTTTTGCAGCCAGAGCCCTGGAAGCCTGAGTTAGCTTATCCAGGCCAGCCAATGATGTTTGTTTGCTGTGTAGATGTACCCTAAGGCCTTTGCAGCCAACATAACTTCTACCACGGGACCCGACTAGAGTACAGGCAGTCTGCAATGGGGCAGGAGTGTAAAGGTGAGCTTTACACTATCTTTTCACACCCATTTCCCGGTTGATGCTGTAAGCTCCTCGGCCATACGCTAAAATCTGGGCCTTATTTAATACACTAGTGTTACTAGCAAAAACAACCAAGTATCATAATGGTCAGTAAATGAACAACGGATTCTTTGTGATGCACTCTCCTTCCCTTTGCAATTGCTCACCTACTAGCTGACATCATTGTCATTGGCAGTGTGTCTCCTAGACATCACTCCAAACGCGAGAGGATCCGCTTTATCAGCGGATTTGCTGCTTCTCTCTTTAACCCCGTGCATTGGATGTCAGTGGGAAAATAACAAACAAATGTAAAATAAAACAGCAGTTGTTAAATGAATAACGGACTCCTTTTTTATTATAGTATTCTAAACCAATACTATAATATGCACTCCTGATAAAGTTCAACATACTGTAGAAAAGGGAGTATTGACGTCCGTGAAATGAGGAGTGAATTATGGTGATGCTAGAGTCCCTATTAGTCACGCATAGTTCCCACAGCTATCTGCCTGGACACTTCAGTTTTCTTTTAAACGGAATTGCTTTATAAAGCCAGGCTCAACTTGTTAGCTGACACTTCAACACCTTCCTCTTCGGCGTCCGTGGATGATGTTTTCTCCTAGAGTAATTAGGGCTAGAGTAAACTGGAAATCCTTTGGTACAGAACATACCTAGTTATAACCAACATTTCACAGAAAAATAGAACATGACTCATTCATTTCTCGTGGCTGGACGCAGCCTGTGATAGTCATTTGAAATAAAACAGCATGAGCAGTTGAATTGTTACAAACAAAATATTTGGATTGTTTATTAGCTGCTCTGTTTAACATTTCCGGTCTGGTTGTTTAATCTTTCATGAGTATGTGGGGTTTTGTTTTGTTTTTTTAAAGGCTGAAATAAGGTCCAAATGACTTTCCACCCCATTCTGCTTTTTCCTGGCTTTGTTCGGTCTCATTATTATATTGCACGTGGTTTGAAGATAATCTTCTGGCTGAAAAGATGTTCCCTTCTACATAATGCACTTGTTAGAAAACACAGATAACATGTAGAACTCTTTATGCCACTAGAATTTAAAGTACTGCATACATAAGAGGGTAGGCCATCCATCCATCAGTTCAGTCCATGAAGTACAGAATATAACTAGTCACTGCATTCTCAATGTGTCTGATTCTTTTAATAAATATTTTACTGGCCAGCTACAGTTTTTGTAGCTCTTACTTTGAGACGACTTCTGTTATCTGTTGGGCAGGGTAAATAACAGCTTTGAAAGAAAAACAAGGTGTTTGGAATTTTTTTTTTTTAAGGCAAAGTGGAACACATCTTGCGCACAGATTCCCTTTAAGAACCTCTGAAATCTTCGTGCCCTAAAAATGAAAAGTACAGAATAGCTAATTAAAGCAGTTTAACAGTCTAAATGCAGCACAGTCTAAATAACAAAGTTTGCTATTCTAAAGACAGGAACCGATCAAAAACTATGCTCAAATTATTGACTATTATCTCTCATTAACGTTGAGTCTCAAATCCTGGGGTAATTAGCATGACATTGCTTTCTCTCATCATGTTTCTCTCAATCAAGCTGGTTTTGTTAAGGCCTGATATCATCTGAATCATGTTTAGCAACTGGTTAGTCTTGTAAATCTGGCACAAAATTAGTGTGATCTGATGATGGCAAATGTATGTAAATGATTACAGAGAGGCGAGGCCAGGTTCTGATCTCATTTGTACCCGGTGGAAATGCAGAGTAAGGCCAGAGCAGGCAGTCTTGATTTGCACCACTGAACTCAGAACAGCATTTGACCCTAAGTATTTGCCACATTGGCAAATCTACCCGTAATTTTACCATTTCAAATGTAGTAAAGGGGGGGGGGGGGGAATCCAGTCCTCTCTAATGACTGCAAATATTGCATATTGTCACTACCCCGGAGAAACTTTACCTGCCACATTTAGATAAGATCTAAATATTTCAGACATTTAACTAGGACAAATCAAATATAAAGAGACCTTTAATAGAGGGGAAGTCCCACTGTTTCTTTGAGATACAAACCAGAGAGAGTTTTGGAAATCTATCACTCTACAAAATTAATGGTCCTGCTTTTTTTTAATGCAACCAAAACTCCTGCTGAGAGTATGTAGTTAGGGTAACATTTTCAAATCCACCTGAGTGACTTAGACTTGTCTACAGGGGGAAGTTATTGCACTTTAAATGCATACCTTTGGGCCTTGTCTACACTGCCAATTTCCAGCGCTGAAACTTTCTCGTTCAGGGGGATGAAAAAACACACCCCGGAGCGATGCAAGTTTCAGCGCTGGAAAGTAGCAGCGTAGACAGACAGTGCACCAGCACTGGCAGCTACTCCACTCATGGGGGCAGGGTTTTTTACAGCGCTGGGAAAGAGCTTTCCCAGCGCTGGTGCCAGGACTACACAGCCATGTTACAGCACTGCCGTTGGTAGTGAAGACATACACTTAGATTATATTTCAAAAACTATTGCAGAATAGAGCTTGTGTGAACAATCTTACTCCGCACTAAAGAGTGCCTTTGTACAGATGAGCTTAATGGATGAATCTACTTACAAAATGGATTAATCTAAACTGCACAAAGGTTCTCGTGTGGAATAAACGTGTCCACGCAGAAACTATTCTGCAACATCTATTTCCCCATGTGGACAAGCCCCAAGTACTACTGACTTTCACTCCTATTTAGACTCCTAAATCACATAGATGCTTGTAAAAATGTTTCTGCAGAGTATAAATTGCTCTGGTCTCTGACCATGTCCTCTTCCAATCCACTGCAGTCATGTGGAGCCAGATTTTCAAATGCTCAGCACACACAACCAGGGTCAGATTTTCAAAAGAGCTCAGCTCCCACGCAGACGTCTAAGTAACCACACGATTTTCAAGAGATCGGCACCCAGTGTGCCCCAACGTGCGATGCTTTTAAAAACTTGCCTTATTAAATTATGTCCATATTTGGATCTTATGATGACTAGGATATACCGTGGCTACAGGATTGCAACCTAAATGGATGAAGTAGGAGGTGCTAATCCATAGGCCCCTTTAGCACACAAGTCTGCAAACTGACTGACTGCAAGTACACCCCGCACCTAATAGAGAGTCCTGCTGACTTCACCGGTTCTCTACTCACCTGCCCCGAGTCTCAGGAGGTTCTGCATGTGTCCGCTGGTGCAGTTCATGTTCCAGAATCAAGGCTATGCACCAGATTTTTAAAGATATTTAGGCAGCCAGGTTGCAATCCACAAAGGGACTTAAATGTTGCAACTCTGAGTGTCATGGCGCTTAACTTTTAGGCACCTAGAAAATCATAGGAACTACGCTGTGACCCACAAAGCCAAGTTAGATGCCAAGGTTCCCTATACAATGAGTAGGGAGAAGCAGGTACCTAAAAATGCGATTCACAAAACCCAGCCTGCCAGGTTCATTTTCTCCCTTCCTGCCAGAAAAGTAGGGTTACCATACGTCCGTATTTTCCCGGACATGTCCGGCTTTTTGGGCTCCAAATCCCCGTCC